ATCACCGGAGCCCAGCAGGTTGAGGCTGCGGTGGCCGGGAGCGGCCACTTCACTCCAGTCTGGGCGACAGAGTGAGACTTCAACTCAAAAAAAAAAGAGCCATCTCTAGCTACTGCACTAGTCTCTGCACATTCTAATTAGAGCTTAATTCGTGATCCACATTTTGTTAATACCCACCAGTATCCAACAAAGTACAATATGTGTGGCTGTATGGACAGTCTGGTTCTTAACCTAGAAATTGTATTATTTATTAACAGATAGTTTATCTAAATTATCTGAAAATTATAAACTTTTTTTGAAAGCAGGATTTATTAAGAGGACAGTAAAGATCCCACAGTGGGAGGGGACCTGAGGGGGGTTGCCTAAATATTATATTTTATAAAGGACAAAGTCTCATTAAAAGCACTAGGATCAGCCGGGCTTGGTGGCTCAGCATATAATCCCGTGCCTTGGGAGGCTGAGGTGAGTGGATTGCCTGAGCCTGCGGGTTCGAGACCCACCTGGGCAACTTGGCGAGACCTCGTCTCTACAATAAATCAAAAAAACTAGCCGGGCATAGTAGTGCACGCCTGTAGTTCCAGCTACCTGGAAGGCTGAGGCAGAAGGATCACCGGAGCCCAGCGGTCAAGGTCACTCCAGTCTGGGTGACAGAGTGAGACTCCAACTCAAAAAAAAAAAAAAAAAAGCACTAGGATCAAACCTATCAACTACCACTGTATATGACATAGATGGATTGGAGGAACATAGTCATAATGTGAGAAATTCTTCAGAACAAATGACCCATATTCTTCAGGAAATAAATAAATGGCACGGGAAAAAAGGAGTTGAGGGTTGGTTACTATTAGATTAAGAGACTTAAAAAAATGTATCGGAGCCGGGCTTGGTGGCTCAGCCTGTAATCCCGCGCCTTTGGGAGGTTGAGGTGAGTGGATTGCCTGAGCCCACGGGTTCGAGACCCGCCTGGGCAGCGAGACCTCATCTCTACAATAAATCAAAAAATCAGCCGGGCGTGGTAGCGCGCGCCTGTAATTCCAGCTACTCAGAAGGCTGAGGCAGAAGGATCGCTGGAGCCCAGCAGGTCCAGGCTGCGGTGGCCGGGAGCGGCCACTGCACTCCAGTCTGGGCGACAGTGAGACTCCAACTCAAAAAAAAAAAAAAAAATGTATCGGCCAGGCACAGTGGCTCGGCCTGTAATACCAGCACTTTGGGAGGCCGAGGTGAAAGGATTGCCTGCACCTGGGGGTTCAAGACCTGCCTGGGCAACTTGGTGAGACTTTGTCTCTACAACAAATTACAAAAAATTAGCTGGGCGTGGCGGCGCACGTCTGTAGTTCCATCTACTTGTAAGGCTGAGGGGGAAGGATCAACTAAGGCCAGCAGATCGAGGCTGCAGTGGCCGTGAGCAGCCTGCCACTACACTCCAGCCTGGGCGACAGAGTGAGACTCTGTCTCAAAAAAAAAAAAAAAGAAAGAAAGTATCAATCAAATATAGTGTGTGTCCTCGCTTTGATTCTGCCTAGTACAAAACAGTAAAAAAGACACATTCAAGATAATTGAGGAAAATGCCACACAACTATGACAGGGTATCAGATGATACTAAATAATTATTTTGCTATATGTGAAAATGGTAGTGTGGTTATGGCTTTTTAAAAAGCCTCTTATAGATATATACTGAACTATTTAGTGATGTCTGGATTTCCTCTAAAAGAATCTGGAAGACTGTGTGTGTGTGTTGGGTGGAGGAGGGAGACCCAGCAAAGATGAAACAAGAATGAGCTCTGTGACAGGCACATGAGGATTCAGACTATTTTGTCTGCTCTTATATACATCTGCAGTTATTTTTTGAATATGCGTCTCATTCTGTCACCCAGGCTGGAGTGCAGTAGCACAATGATGGCTCCCTGCAGCCTTGACTCCCTGGGCTCAGGTGATCCTTCAGCCTCAGCTCACTGAGTAACTGGGATTACAGGTGCATGTGACCACGACTTTTTATTTTTTGTATAGCCGAGGTCTCAAGTTGCTCAGGCTGACCTCGAACTCCTGAACTCAGGCAATCTTCTCACCTTGGCCTCGGGAAGTGCTGGGATTGCAGGTGTGAGCCACCAGGCCTGGCCTACCTACACTTACGATTTTTTTTATTCTAAAGGAAAACCAGGCATTGGATCTGGATGCTTTAGATATTGTTGATCTGCTGTCCATTTTAACCTTATTCTCACTCCAGAATCCACTTTCGCGCCCATCTCAGGCTTTTTGGATAGAACTGACTCTTCTTAACTGTCCAACTTCCTTTGTCCGTCTTATGTATGATTACATTGCAGAATACCACCGGCAGAAAGGAACCTTAAATAGGATTTCGTCCAACACCCCCATTTTACAGATGAAAAAACGAAGGCCCAGAGTTTCATTAGCTTATAGGCTTGCATAAAGTGCAACTAAAGCTATGCGGCCAGTAAGTATGAAGTTTACCTGTGTATGACTAAATCACATGGAAGCCGTGCAAAAAAAAAAGTTTTTTTGAGTGGGAGTCTCACTCTGTCGCCTAGGCCGGAGTGGAGTGCCAAGCTCACGATCAACCCGGCGTCGACCTGCTGGGCTCCGGTGATCCTTCCGCCTCAGCCTTCCAAGTAGCCAGATCTACAGGTGCTCGCAACCGGGTCGGCTGATTTTTTGATTTATGGTAGAAATGAGGTGTCGCCAAGTTGCCCAGAGTGGTCTCCAACCCGTGGGCTGAGGCAATCCCCTCACCTCCGCCTCCCAAAACAAATGTCTTAATTGACAACACCAGATTGCCAGAGGTTCATAAACACCCACTTTCCTTCTCTTGTAAGAGCTAGGAAAACACTCACAAACCAACTCCCAGGGGCGACCCTGCCTCATGCAGCACAGCCGCCCCTCCCTGCGGGAGCCTGCAGAGCCCACAGGAGGAACCAAGGGAACGCGCGAGAAAAGACGCAGCGTCGGCTCGGACGTGCGCACGCACGACGGCACCCACGACACACGCAGGCACGCACGGAGCGAGCTCGTCTTTTTGTTTGTTTGTTTTTTTGAGTTGGAGTCTCACTCTGTCGCCCAGACCGGAGTGCAG